TAGAACTGGGGGCGGGGAGGTGAGAAAAAAAAGAAAGTTTCTGCTCCCTCCAGATCACCACAGCTCTTTGTTTTTATTTGAAAAGTAACATGTCCTGTTATTCCCCAGAGATGGAGAAGCTGAGTGCTATACATGGGTCACCCTGGGCTTAGACAAGAGGTTCAAAGCTCCAAATGCATTACACACGTACATGAGCCAGAAGTCCTTGGAGTCACTAGCTTAGTAGTTAAGGAGGTGAGCTGGAGAGTCTCCCAGACATGGATTTGAATCCTGAGTCTGCTGCTGTCTAGCTAAATTATCCTGGGCTAGTTACTGCACCCTCTGAGCCTCAATTTATTCATCTAAGGATGTAACATGCTCTTATTCTATGGTCTACCCTGTCTAAGCCTAGTATACAGTGAGTATTGATGTTGGAAATCATTGTTATATTACTTTTATTACTATTTAGATAATTTTGCCTTATATGGGAGCCTTAAATATTTGCCCTGAAAAGTATACCCAGATAGTATAATATCAAAAGAAGAACACTGCATTGGGAACCGTGAGTCCTGGCTTCTAGTTCCAGCTCTGATCCTTTCTTGCTGTTATCTTAGGCAGGTCATTTCCCCAGTCTAGGCTCTGGGTACCATGGTTTACCTGTCAACTCTGCTGTTACAGGTGCCCTTATACCTAAAGGAGAGCATCAAAACCAGAAAAGATTAAACTTCTCTAAACCTGTACTGACTTTCCCGTTGGAGCCAAAATTCAAGTAGCAAACCTAACACCTTGATTCTGTGTATATTGGTGCCTACACAACTTCCACATGGTGATGATTATGTCAAAACAAGCTGCTGTCTGATCCACAGGGTCAGCCTCACCTCTGAAAATCGAGCAGATGACCAAGTCCAGGTCCAAGTGTCAGTGGGAGTTAGAGCCCAGAGCAAAGTGTACACGCACATTCTGTGATGATTATGCCCAGTGAATTATGAACCAGATCCTTGACAGGGAGGAAGTTCCTACAGGTTGGGGTGACCCTCCTAGCAATGTGTTTATTTGACAGCCTAAGGCAGCAAAAATTCACGGAGAAAAGACAGGAGGAAGAGATGTAAAAGAAAGGCAATTTAAGAATGACAGCATCCTCTCTGGTCTGCCAAAAACTCATAAAACTATATCAGCAGAAGATCATATAAACACATTAAGAAAAAAAGAAGGTAATCAGAGACTCAAAGGTCTTAGAGAGATATTAAGGCTGGGAAACAAGGCTTTCTCTCTCTTATCAATTAGGCTTGTTAATTGCTATTGAATCGCTTGGCAAATTATAAATACTCAAGAAATATTTGTGAAATGAATAAATGACAGGGAGAAGTCATTGCCGACTAGGGGTACCTGTGGAGTTGTCACCGGTTGAATGTGTTGTGGGAGATGGATAGTATTTAGATTACTAGCGGTGGAAAATAATGCAAGAAGGCCATTGGCATTAACAAGTTGAGAGTGAGCTTGGCTTGTTGCACTGGGAGATGAATCATTCAAACGAGACCAGGCTGTGTTGCTGTCAATTTCCCTGGAATTTTAGTGACTCAATATAATAAAGGTTGATTTTTTCACTCATGTTGTATGTTCAGTGAAGGATGTCAGGGGGGTTCTGCTCCATGCAGCCACTTGGGGGCCCAGGCCAATGGCAGCACTGACAACTGTTAGCTGCGTCATCTGTGACATTAGTCACCATGGTAGGGGAATGGTGCTCAGGGAGAACTCATGTCTACTTTTGTGTGCTTTAGGGTGGAAGCCACCTGCAGTCCCTCTGCTCACAGCCCGTTGGCCAGAACTGGAGAATGGGTACCCTCAACTCTAGGGGGCTCTGCTTCATGGCAATAGTTAGGAGAACCACCTATCGGACTGGTAAACACATTTTAGGTAAGGTAGAGAAGTGAGGCGCAGAGAGATAAAATGATCTGCCCTAGTTAGAAAGCTAGCAAGCCAAGCCTAGGATTCACAACACAGCTTCTGGATTTAAAGTTTGTGCTGCCAACAGCTACAAGGCTCTGCCCCCTACGTGCCTACTCCAGCCCCTAGCCCATGTAAGAGCCCACGGTAAATACTGGCTGACTGGATAAATGACTGCTACAATGACGTCAGCATAGGCACTCTGGAAGACCTAGGAGGGACATTAAGCAGTCTAGGCAGGTGGTTCTCAAAGTGTGGTCCCTGGACCAGCAGCAAAAGTATCAACTGGGAAGTTGTTAGAAATGCAAATTCTCAGGCCCTCCATCCAGACCTACTGAAGCAGACTGTCTGAGAATGGGGCCCAGGAATGCGTGTTTTGGCAAACCTTGAGAGTGATTCTGATTCACAGCAAGGTTTGGGAACCGTTGGTCTAGGACCTTGCTTCTCAAAGTGCGGTCCGTGAACCAGCAGCATTGACTGTACCGGGAGCAAACCAGAAAGACAGAAACTCAGATCCCGCCTCGGACCTACTGAACCAGAGTCTTTGTTTTAGCAATATCCCCACCCAGAGGATTTATTTGCAACTTAAAGCTTAAGAGGCAGAGGTCTAGGGCGTTTGTTTTTGAAGTTAGCTGCTCCTTAGAATCATGTGGACAAAAGCCACTGCTGTGGCCTTAGAGATTCTAGCGTGGCTGGTCAGGGTGTGGCCTAGACATCAGGATTTGTATACGTTCCCAGAGCTGATTCCAATGCGTAGCGAAGTGTGAGAACCACAGGTGTCCAGGACGGTAGGAAGGCTTCCCAAAGGAGGCAGCGTGTGAGCTCAGCGCGGGCCCCCGAGGCTGGGTGTTCCCCAGAGAGGGAGCGAGAAAGCCAGACTGTTTTGGGTGCTGCCGCTGCCACTGTCTCTACCTGCCTTCAGTCAAAGAGGGAGGCCTCCCCGAATCAAGGGTTGTCAATCCACCCCCGTCAACAGCCTCAAATTCACTAAAATGCTCGAGGCGCGGGTTCAGAGCGAGGGCAGAGCGAGGGAGAGGTTTTTATTACATAAAGCCTGCATTCTCCCGGCTGTGCATTAATTAATTTTGAAGTAGGCTGAGTGATGGGGGAGGGTTTGGGCAGGATTTCCAAAAGTCCCCCCTTTCTGAAATGGCTTCCACTCCGAGCGACCCCACCGCGATGGGAGGGAGAGAAAGTCCAGCCCGCGAGCATCGAGCATCACGCCTTGGCCGAGGCTGGCTAGGGTTGCTGGTGAGAACGGGATACAGCGCTCTCTCCTGTGCTTGGAAAAAAGATCTCGGGGAAATAAACACATACAGCTCCAGTGGAGAGGTCATCGGGAGAGCCCAGGATAGAGGGGCAAGGGGTTTGGAAGGGGTGGTGGGGAGGACAAGAACAGTCCGGACTCTTCAAGGTCGTCTTCCTTGTCTCCCGCACTGGAACTGCTCCTGCCGCACCCACTCCCCCGCCCCTCCTCCTCCTCCTCTTCCTCTTCCTCATAGCATCTCCTATGACTAACGATCCTGACCCTTCCCCAACCCGGTCTGCAATATCTCAGGCCTCTTGTCATAGCCGGCTTCCGGCCACCGGCTGAGGTCAGATGGCCCTAAGCACACCAGAGCCAGCAGTGCCCATGGCCAAGGGCAGGTTCTCGAAATACCCGCAGGGTCCAGTGTTTGCTCTCTTCCCTTCCTTTCCCTTTCCCCTAAAACAACTTTTATCTTAATTGCAGAATCTCCTCTCGCTCTTAGATCTCTCTTTTCTAGGCACTAGCTCAAGGGGAAATAGGAGACAGTAATACCATGACCACACAGGTTTTCAGTCACCTCACCTGAATGAGGTCATCACAGGGTGGCTTTTCAAGAGAGACTCCTTCTAAGAGTACTTCTCAGAACAAATATGACGCCATCACTCCAAGTATTCTTGGAGTTCCTTTTTGAACATGGCCTTTGGAATTGTCTAAATGGACATTTAGAAGGGATGTACAAAAAGCAATATTATTATGCCATTCATTATTTAGCTTAAAAAAATTCCTGGTTGGATCTTAGTTGTTTCACCCCATATTTGTATAACCAAGTGAATCACCCTTTTATTCCTAATGATTATCCCTGTGTGATATTGTACCCTTTCTCAACATTAAATCTACCCTCAAAGTTTGCAGATATGGCTACCAATGAAGAAACTGTCCAAAATAATCAAGCAAGTTTCTTCATATTTCACTACTCCCTACAAGAAAAAAAAAAAAAGAACTTCTATGAATACTCCAAACAATGGCAAAATATTTAAGAGAAGTGTTCAGCCTCTGAAAGGCTACCATTAGCAGGGCAATACTGATTTGGGAGGATGATCTTTACAATCACAAACTGAAACAAGCATTAAGGATTTCCTTAGTCACTTTTAACTAATGAACCCAGTTGCACTTCCTCTTTTATCTTCATAATAGCATTTGGGACAATCCCAGCTCTCAGCAAGTCAAATTTTCCAGCCATCTGTCCTCATCAGAATAAGCCACGAAAGGAACAAGCACATACTTGACTCAATATTATAGTGCGTGCTCTTCTCCTCTGTTTTATTTTCCCCCCTTGACTCCTCTTCTTCCCTTGAAAGAAAAGACGCTTTTAACACCAAGTTAAATTAATTTTGCAAGTGTTTTCTTTGCATAAGGCCTGTTCCATGTGGTGTGTGTGTATGCCTGGCCACCTAAGATGTGCTTTCTCATTTGTTTTCCTCTGGCATGCCCACAGGGAGAAATGGGCTGGGGTTGCCCAGGATGCTGTGTTGAGAAGGATTCAGAGGTCAGTACTTGGTGAGAACATGCACACATGGCTTCTTTCTCCTTATGCTTAATAGATGCTCAAATATTTGCTAAATATATAGATGGAAAGAGAGAAAGAGAAAGAGAAAAAAAGAGAGAAAGAGAAAGAGAGAGAGAGAGAGACAGAGAGAGAAAGAAAGAAGAAAGAAAGAAAGAAAGAAAGAAAGAAAGAAAGAAAGAAAGAAAGAAAGAAAGAAAGAGAAAGAGAGAAATAAAGAGAAAAGAAAAGAATAGGTAAGGAAAGAAAAGAAAAGAGAAAAGAAAGAAAAAAGCAAAACTAAGTTGGTGAGTGAATGAATCCATGAGCAGTGAGACCTACCACTTGGACAAGAGGAAATGAATCACATTATGACCATGGATTTCAACTAAACCTTTAGAGTTCACTTTTGGAGTTTCCAGATGGTTGCCAGAACATGCTCACTTCCTATTTCCATCCCATTTTGAAAGTCACAGTGTAGGTGGGATCCCCACTGATACTGTTTATTTTGAAATATATTTTGTCTCCTTCTGCTGAAATACGTTGGCCACACATGAAAGTCAAGGAAAGGCTGAGGAATTGCTCCAGACTGAAGGAACCTGAAAGAGACATGAAAACCAAATATAACACATGGTTCCGAACTCCATCCTTTGGCTACAAACACATCATGGAGACAATAGTCAAGACTTGAATGGGATCTGAGAACTATAGGGTAACAATGTATCAGTGTTAGTTTCCTGATTTCGATGGTTACATTTTTGTTACAGAAGGAAACGCTCTTGATTTTAGGAAATAAATGTTAAGTAGTTGGGGCTGAAAGAAAAGAAAAGGAAAAAAAAAATCCTTGACTTCAAATATAAACATGAATCTTCTATTTATTCCAATATGAGGATAGGTTTATACCAGCAAATATACTCAGTTTCATAATAGACACTTTTGCCCTAGAAAAATAGTAGACAGAAATATGCAGAAGAGTCAAACTAATCTATTTATATCCAGCTCAGTATCCTATGTGCTTTTTAGATGCCGTCGAACTTTGTGGCAAAGGAATGAACTTAGAGCATTATGAGGTCTTAGGTCTTGTAATATTATGAGTTGTCACATCCTAGGGCAGTCATAGAGATTTCATGGCTTTTACCCTACAACAGCAAGAATTCCGGACACGTTTCTAAAATAGCCTCTTACCGTGAAATACACCTGTTGAAGTTTCTGATTCTTTGAAAGATGTCTTTTAGAAAAAAATACCCCGGTGGAAGAAATGTCCTCAATTTGTAGTTCTCAGGGTCAGGTTTTTGTAAGGAAGTTTCGGTGAACAAATAACTGAACAGATGCCGGAAAACCTAAGACTTTCATTTGAGTAGAGGAGAGGGATTTATTAGACCACTAGATTAAAATTCCTGTATTTAAGACATATTTCACAAACACTTAATAGGGTTTTCCCACCCGTTAAGAGCAAACTAAGGGCACAATGTTCCATTTTAATAGGGGCAGTAACTTCATTTCATTTATAGACTAAACTGACAGAAAAAAAAAAAAAATACAAGGGCAGTTCTCGCCAGAGAAAACATGACTTAATACAAGTGCTCAGGCAAAGTATTAGAAATAAAGGTCTGTCTGTAGCCTTGGCAATTTCTTTTCCTTTTTTCTATTTTTGGGAGGTGGTGGTGATTTGGAAGAAAAAAAAAAATCCTGTGGTTGGTATCCAATGAAGTTAGCACTTCTGGGGCAAGACCTCTATTACATGCAAACATCATGAATTATAATTAGAGAACAGCCTATTTACACATGAAGGTATACCGGGTCAAACAGAAAACCCTGCCAAGAATCTCAGCTTCTGGCTGAGAAATATTGGCCATTGGTATAAAGCACATGGTCCTGGAATGGGGCAAAGCCAGGAGAAGCAATGAGATCTAGTTTTCAGTCCATGTGGCGTTTAGCAACAGCATAGAAGGAGACTTGTAATGAAAAACCAACACCTTGCAGAATTAGACACACTTAAGCTGTTCGTACAGGTATGAAGCAGGTATTATATAACACTTTTCTGGGGAAATCTGAAAAAAAAATGTGTTGTAAAACCTTAAAAAAACGTGATTACTCATCTCTAATCGTGCTTCCTAAGGAAATCATTAAACAGTATTCCGAAACCAAATATATTTAAGGATGTTTGTGGTAGTGCTGTCTAGCTAGCATAAAATATTGGAAATTATTTAAATAATAATTTTATAGGAAATGGGTTAAATAAATTAAAGTCAATTCATACACAGCATACCATGCAGGCTTTGAGAAGAAGGAAATATATTTATATATATTGACATGGAAAGATGTCCCAATATATGAATTTAAAAAAGCAGGATATAAAAAATGCAAAGTATGATTGCATTTTTTATTAAGAAAAAGATAATAAGCGTGTGTGTGTTTGTATGTGTATTTAAAAAAAAATAAAAGATCAGACTAATAGATATTAGACTGCCAAAGCACTTATTCTTGGTGGGTAGAGTTACCAGAAAATGCCTATTTGCTATGTATGTTGCATTTCTATATTGTTTGATTTTTTTAAAACAAATATAGGTCATGTTATAATTAGAAAAGGCCACCCAAGTCATTCCAGTAAGGGAAAGGACAGTCTGTATTAGAGACTTTATCTTGTCGTCCCTAGAGGAAACCTAGAAGTTGAATGAGACTCGCCTGATGCCTGAGCCCGGCTCTACCACTCACCAGCTGTTGGCACCAGGGCAGCCACCGAGCGTCTCTAAGTCTGGTCTCTACTCCGTTACGTAAGGGCATTCCTTTCTTCCCAGCCTGGTGATGAGGATTATGTTTGTACAGGGCCTGGCCTCGTGCCTGGTACACACAAGGTGTTCAGTGAAAGAAAAGAAGAAGCGAGTGCCTTGTTTTTATTAACAGGTGCCATGGACAAGATCTAAACGTTAGCCAGGAATGGCAAACCATAACAAAGGGCACCTAGCCTGCTTCTTGGCACTGTCTAAAAGAAAAGCAGACTAGAGGACACATTTTCTCTACCTAAAGCGATTGCTTTCCAGGTAGGAGACTGACATCTGTGATTAGCAGCATAGATCGAGCGCCTACTATGTGTCAGGTACTGTCGGGGCTCTTTAATGGAATAACTCATTTAATCATGACAACCACGATTGTAGGTAGACGCTATTATTAGTATTCCCCTTTTATGAGTAAATAAACCAAAATACAAATAGACTAAGTGGCTTGTCTGTGGTCGTCCAGATGGTTAGAATCCGGCTTCTATGTCTGAGCTCTTAACCACCAAGGCACACCTGTGCCCAATAGTTAAGGGGGGGGACCAGGGTTGGAGAGGGGAATTTAGGGAAAAGGGGGATATTCAGTCACGGAGGGCCAGCCTCCAAAGCCGTGGAAAAGGCCAGCGGTGCTCACGCTTGAGTGACCATCAGGATGTCCTCGAGAGCCTGTTATGGCACAGAGAGCTGGCTCCACACCCATTGCTTCTGATTCTGCAGTTCTAAGACAGGGCTCCAGGGTGTGCTCATGCTGCTAGTCCACGGATCCCACTTTGAGAACCACTATCCTAAGCCCTCTGGGCTGCACAGGACTCAGCCCGACCCGGAGCCAGGGTGAGGCCACCCAGGAACCGAGCACCAGCGAAATACACGACTCCTCCCTGTTTTCTGCTCATGGCATAGCCAGTCTGATTGAACAAAACGTCAAGTCATGAGAGCATTTTTAAAGAGACATAGTAACAACACTGGTTTATAAATAAAACCCTTTGATTTCCACTTCTGAGAGACGCAGCATTCAAGAATTGCCCTTCAACAGCCAATCAACGGGATGAAAAGGAATTTCTTTCTTTATCTGAGTCTACTGAAGGATGTCTTTGAGTGACATCACTCACCTGATATCACTTCTGGCAAACCCTTTACCATCCTCAATTTTCCTCCACGTACTCAGGGACTTCCCCCCTCTAAACTCCTTTCAGTCTCTTCAAACTGGTGGAAACAATCATGGTGCAGAACAGGATTTTTTCCCCCCTATTTCTATAAAAAAGCATCATATCATTGAGATTTTGGTGGGGATAATGTTGAATCAGCAGATCGCTTTGGGTAGTATGTTACATTTTAACAATATTAAGTCTTCCAATCCACGAATGTGGAAAATCTTCTCACATCATTGTGTGTGCTCTTTAATTATTTTCATCAATGTTTTGTAGTTTTCAGTGTACCAGTTATTTACCTCCTTGGTTTATTCCTAAGTATTTATTTTATTTTTTGACACAATTGTAAATTAAATTGCTTTCTTGATTTCTTTTTCCAATAGTTCATTGTTAGTGGATAGAAATGCAACTGGTTTTTGGTGATTTTATATCCTGCCACTTTACTGAATTTGTTGATTTGTTCTAATAATTTTTTGGTGGAATCTTGAGATTATGCAAATATAGATAACTTTACTTCTTCCTTTCTCACCTGGATTTTTTTTTTTTTTCCTAATTGCTCTGGCTAGCACTTCTGGTATTATGTTGAATAGATGTGGCTAGAATGGGCATCCTAGTCTTGTTACTGATCTTAAAGGTAAAGCTTTCAGTTTTTCATAATTAAGTATGATATTAGCTATAGGATTTTTATATATGACTTTCATTGTGGTGAGGTAAGTTCTTTCTACACTTACTTTATTGAGAGTTTTTATAGTAAAAGAGTTTGAATTTTGTCAATTGATTTCTCCATATTTACTTACATGATCATATGCCTTTTAATCATTCATTCTGTTAATGTGGTGTATCATATTTATTGATCTATGTATGTTCAACTATTCTGTGTCCCAGGGATAAATCACACTTCATCATGGTATATGATACTTTTAATGTGCTGTTGAATTCAATTTTCTGCTATCTTTGTTCAGGAGTTTTGCATATATGTGCCTCAAAGACACTGGCCTGTAATTTTCTTAAAGTACATTTGTCTGGCTTTTGTAACAGGGTAATGCTGGCCTTATAAAATGTGTTTGGAAGTGTTCCTTCCTCTTCAATTTTCTGGAACAGTTTGAGAAGTACTGGCATTAATTCTTCTTTAAATGACTTAGAGAATTCACCAGTGAAGCCATCTGGTGCTGGGGTTTTTTTGGTGGGAGGTTTCAGGATAGGCGATGATTTCTTGCATATGACACCAAAAACACAGGCAACAAAAGCAAAAATTAACAAGTAGGACTACATCAAACTGAGCAGATCAAAAGAAACAATCAAGACAATGGAAAGGCAACCTATGGAATAGGAGAAAATATAAGCAAACTGTTTATATGATAAGGAGTTAATATCTGAAATATATAAGAAACTCCTATAAGTCAATAGCAAAAATAAAAATAACCCAAATTTACAAGTGGGCAAATGACTTAAATAGGCATTTCTCTAAAGATGACTTACAAATTGTCAACAAGGACAAACAGACTTCAAAAAGTTCATGGAAATTGCATAGTAGGAAAAAATATACATGGATTTCAATTTTTTTTGCACTAAAATAAATTCATACTAACTTGTTATGACATGTCTGAACAGGATCTAGTTTGAGTCACTAAGAAGGATAAGACATAGGTTTCAAAAGAGATCCTACCAGAGCAACATGAATTCTGCTAAATTTAAATCAAGAACAAACATCAAATTTATGGTGAAGCTTAGGTGAAAGAATGGTGAAATCATCGATGCCTTGTGAAAAGTTTACGAGGACAATTCCCCCAAAGAAATCAGCAGTTTGCAAATAGGTAGGTCATTTTAAGAAGGGACAAAATAATATTGGAGATGAGTCTGCAGCAGCAGACCATTCACCTCAATTTGCAAGGAAAAAAAGTTAATCTCATTCATGCCCTAATTGAAGAAGACTGACTGACAATTAGCAGCAGAAACAATGGTGAACACCATGGACATTTCGTTGGTTCAGCTTACACAATTCTGACTGAAGAATTAAAGTTGAGCAAACTTTCCACTCAATGGCTGGCCAAAACCATTGCACCCAGATCAGCTGCAGAGAAGAGCAGAGCTTTCAATGAAAATTTTAAAGAAGTGAGATCAAGATTTTGAAGCATTTCTTCAAAGAATTGTAACAGGAGATGAAATATGGCCTTACCAGTATCATCCTGAAAACAAAGCACAATCAAAGCGATGGCTACCAAGAGATGGAAGTGGTCCAGTCAAAGCAAAAGTGGGCCAGTCAAAGCAAAGGTGATGGGGACAGTCATGGGAGATGCTCAAGGCATTTTGCTTGTTGACATTCTTCTGGAGGGTAAAAAAACTATAACATCTGCTTATTATGAGAGTGTTTTGAGAAAGTTAGTCAAACCTTTAGCAGAAAAATGCCCAGAAAGGCTTCATAATAGTAAGTCCTTCTCCATGACAACAATGCTCCTACTCATTCCTCCCATCAAACAAAGGCAATTTGGTGAGAGTTTCAATGGGAAATCATTAAACATCGACATTCCAGCCTTCATTTAGTTCCTTTTATTCCCCAACCTTAAAAAAATCCTTAAAGGGAACCCATTGTACTTCAGTTTGTAATGTAAAAGAGACTTCATTGAGATGGCTAAATTCTTAGAGCCCTCAGTTCTTTGGGGATGAACTAAATGGCTATCATCACTTACAAAAGTGTCATTAATATGATGGAGCTTATGTTGGGAAATGAAGTTTTTTTTTTTATCTTTTAGTTCCATTTTTCCATGACATTTTTGAAGTCCTCCCATATATGAAAATGTGCTCAACATCACTAATCATCAGGGAAATGCAAATCAAAACCACCATGACATATCACTTCACACCTGTTACACCAAAAGAAGAAAAAAAACAGGTAGATGTTGGCAAGGATGGTGAAAGAAGAGAACCCCTGTTCCCACTATTGGTGGGAATGTAAATTGGTATAGCCAATATGGAAAACAGAATGGAAGTTCCTCCAAAAATTAAAAATAGAACTACCATGTGATCCAGCAATTCCACTTCTGGGTATATATCCAAAGGAATTGGAATCAGGATCTTGAAGAGATATCTGTACTCACAAGTAATACTCACAAGTAGCCAAGTCATGGTAGCAAACGCAATGAAATATTATTCACCCTTAAAATATAAGGAAGTCCTTCTATTTACAACACCACAGATGAACCTGGAAGACATGATGCCAAGTGAAACGAGCCAGTCACAGAAGTATAACCACTGCATGATACAACTTATATGAGGAATCTAAAATAGACAAACTCACAGAACCAGAGAATAGTGTGGTGGTTGCCATGGACTGGGCTGAGAAGGAAACGAGGGGCTGTTACTCTACAGGTATAAAGTATTAGTTATGCAACGTGAATTAGTTCTAGAGATCTGCTGTACAACACGGTGCCTACAGTTAGCAATATGATAATGAGTACTTAAAATTTTTGTTAAAAGCATGGATCTCATGCTAAGTGTTCTCATCACACACACACACAAAGGGACACAAGGAAATTTCTGGAGATGACAGATATAAGTTTCTTATTTTGATTGTGATGATGGTTGCATAGGTGTATATTCACACACACACATATACATATATATATATATATATATATATATATCCAAACTCATCAAATTGCATATATCAAACAGGTAGGGGTTTGTGTTTGGTATATCAACTATGCCTCAATAAAGGTCTTGATAAATGATCAATCAATTAATCAAGCTCAAAGGACCAGAGTTGGTAAGGAATACATGCAGGACGTCTCAGTCCAAGTTATTTGGTCTATTATTGCCACTAACACACTACTAGTAAGGAAGCCACGTGGTATCTTTTCTTTCTATTTTTGTCACTTGCTTTCGTCAGATAATTCTACCCCCAACACTCCTGCAAGAACTAAAACAGAATACACAAACTCTATTTTCTTATTGTTGTGGTTGCTGCTGTGTACTTTTGAGGTGAGACAATAGAGGCCTCAACTCTGTCAAATTCCAGATTTAAAAAAATCAACAGCAAAATTCTATGTCTCCATAGAAGCTCAAATGATGTGAATTCTAACAACCACAGAGAATTTTAAAATGTAATTTTTATTAATGTCAACTCATTAAAATAAATATAGTCCAAGATTTGATATCATCTTAAAAAATTGGAAGCTACCACCATATTGTGATTAATCAAATATTTTCGGGGGTCATAACATTTTGGAGCAGGGAGAAAAGTGCTGATTTTCT